CCTGCCCAGCGCCGCCCACCCTGACTTGACCATCACTGGCAGGACTGGCGTGAGCTTTCAGTCGCAGCCCCGTGATGCAGCCGAAGCGGAGGAGCGACCAGGGTGCACAGCATGCCCACGCTCACGCCAAGGCGCCAGCCACGTGCCAACAGAACAGGGTCCCGAGGGCCAGCAGCGCCCAGGTGTCGGGCAGGCCCTCCCAGTGCACAGTGAGCCCCGTGCCCGTCAGCGCCGCTGAGGGTCACGGCCCCAGTGACCACGGCCGGCTCCTGCACGGGACGCTGGGCCTCAGGGCAAGAGGCATGGCCACTCGGCCTTTCGGGCTGGAGACGGGCGGGCCCCACGCGTCTCCCGCGCCCAGTGCTGGGAAGGGGGGACGGGCGTGACCCCTCGAGACCCAGGCAGCCACCATCTTGACCTCGCACGGGTTATCTGGCTTGGACAGCGCAGAGGGGCTCTGGGTCTCCCCTCTGAGCCCCCCGGTCCCATACACGCCTGCGGCACCTTCTGGCCGCTGCCTGGGCCTGCCCGCCTGGGCCTGCCTGCCTGTCTGTCACGTCTTTGCCCAGGAAAGGAGCCCCTCAAACATCCTCTCCAGGGTCCTTTGGGGACACTGCCTGGACCCCTCCTTCAGTGCTGCCTCCCTGGTGTCCAGCGGGAGCCCAATACACCGTGCCTGGAGGTGTGACCCCGCCATTTGCTTGATGCTTTTCAAGAACGCGAGTTGGGTGAGACTTACGGGCACCCTCGGGCGCGGCGTGAACAGGGACATCTGCAAGGAAAACACCGAGGTGAGAGGCGGGGTCAGCGCCAGAGCTGCCGCAGACACCCCACCTGCAGGACACAGCTCTGCTCCAGACCCGCCATCGGGGACGCGCCGAGTGGCCAGAGGCGGGTCCTGGAGCCACAGGGCGGAGTCAAGCCCGGCCACCCCACTGCCGCTGGGAGCGCCCACACCCTCAGTGTAAAGGGGTGGCTGCCCCCCACTGGGGTGCTGCAGGGCGGACGTGGACGTCCCTAAGGTCCTCAGCAGCACAGCACCTGGGGCCCTCGGCCCTCCCTCGGGGTCTCCTGCCCCCCATCATCTGCTACGGCCAGAGGAGGGCACAAGCGAGCCTGGGCACAGGAGGCACCCAGGGGTTACGGCGGCTGCCGGGAGGGCACCCGTCACCTGAGGGGGTCAGAGCAGAGAAGGGGTTAGCGTGGTACTTACTGTTCCAGGTAATCCAGGGGGCCCGGCTGGACCAGCCTCACCCTGCGTGAATAAACGGAAAGTACATGACCCTCCTGTCCAGTCTGCTTGTCCCCAGACGACAGAATCGCCCAGCCTGCATCTACCTGGACGATGGACAGATGGACGCGTGGGTGGGTGGAAGGTGGCTGGGTGGGTGGTGGATAAATGGAGGGAGGGTGTGCAGAGGTAAAGGACAAGGAAGGGGAGGAGGGAAAACAGCAAAGCAGACATAACAACTGGCAGACGCTGGGGGGGCAGGGGGCCCCCCAATGCTGAGATATTTCAACAAGCAGAACCCGCGTTTTGCGAGGCGCCCGGTAGCTCACAGGCGCCCAGGGCTCTGGCTAGTGCAGGCAGGCAGAGCCCTGCGCAGGGAGGACACCGTGCTCCCACCTGCTGCTCTTGGTCAGCAGCCTTAACACGATAGCAAAGTCAGTCAGTGTTTCGCCCTCATTCTATTCCGCACAGCACCCAGCCCCAGGTACTGGCTGACTATCTGCACGGCTCCCTGCCTTCCATCTCCTCAGAAGTGCCCAGAAGACGGGCCCATCCCACGGTAAGGAAACCAAAGCCAGAGACGTCCACGCACTGCCCTGAGCCACCGGTCAGCGAAAGCTGAGCCCGGGCTGAAGCCCAGTCCAGGCCCGCGGGAAGGAGGCGGCGCCCTCGCCACGGCCCCAGCGGCTCGCCAGGGCGGGCCCCAGTGCAGCCCACAGGGCCTGCTCCCGGGCCTGTGCGGCCCCGAGCCCTGCACCGACCTCACGCCGACCAGCTCCCCACAGGGGCGGCTCCCGGCTCACTCCACAGATGGGCGCCGGGAGGAGAGGCTTGGCGGGGCACGGAGCCTCCAGCCCAGGCGGGGAGTCCAGGCCCGTGCGGGGCAGCGGGCACCCCGACCTGGCCAGGGCCTAGGGCCGCAGGGCTCCCGCGGAGGGGCCCCTGCTCCTCCAGGGTAGGCGACTCCCCAGCAGCTGTCACCCCCCTTCAGCCTGTGGGGCGCCAGGCTCCAGTGGGCGGTGGGGCGGGAGGGGGCGGGGGAGGGGGCTGGGCCCCCAGGCTCAGTCTCAGGCCCGTGGCCGGATGTCGCCTCCTGCACGTTCCTGACCTGACTGTCTGCCTTTGCATATTTCTCTGGAGGAGAAGGGCAGACTGCCCGGGGCTGTGCCCTGGCCCGGCAGTTCTGCCAAAGCAATGCCAAGGGCTGTGGCCTCTCTGAGTCCTCTGTGTCCAGGAAATGAGTTTCTCAAACAGAAGTCGCATTTCCGGTAAGTCTGCGCGCGCCCGACCGGCCCGCCCATGCAAAGCCCTTTCCCCGCCGGGCGCCTGATTATAGATGACAGGTCCCCTGCAGCATAGGCCCAAGTCGTCAGCCCGAGGCGGGGCGCTGCCCTCCCAGGCCACAGGCGAAAGGGGGCGGTGGGCAGTCCGCCCGAGGTGTGCCAAGGTGAGGACGCAGCGGCCCAGGGCACCGGCCCCCCGGGCAGAGGCTCCCCTTGCCAGGCACCAGCCTCCAGCCAGCGAGCGCGGCTGCCAGGCCGGGACACAGGCAGACCAGGGCTCGGCCTCCCCGCTGCAGGCAGCACCCCCGCGCAGAGGGACCCCGGCAGCAGCACCTACCTTGTCTCCTCGGTCCCCTTTCAGCCCCGGGAGGCCCAGGCCGCCTCTCTCCCCCTGGGGAGAGAGAGAATCTCACCCCGTGCAGTGGCCGCCCGGCGTGAGCTGCCTGTCCCGGGCCGACGGCGGCACGGTCCTCTCCTCCAGCCCCGGCCTGCCCGCGAGTGCTCTGGCGGCCCGGGGTCCTGTGGGCTGCGGGGCCGCACCCAGGCGACACTGACCACCCGGTGGCACCGCCCACCCAGCCCTGGCGAGTCCCAGGGGGACGCTCCGCCCTTCCAGGGCCGCATGGCCACCGCCCCCCGGCCCAGCTCACAGGCCTGCATCTGCCCGCCTTTGCTCATCTGTGAACGCTGGAGAAGGAAGGACATCTGAACCCCAGCCCAGCCCACTAGTCCCTCGAGGGCCCCCAGGGGGGCCGCTCCCCCAGGGCTCAGGTGAGGGGCCTCAGAGGAAAGACCCCAGGTCACTTACCTGCTCCCCCTTCTCTCCCCTCCGGCCCGGGAGTCCTGGGGCGCCGGGCAGACCTGCGGCTCCCTGGGGGACGAGGGGTGCCATTGGGCGGGCTCAGTAAGGAGGAGCTCCTTTGGGCCAGTGCTCCCTACTTCCTGCTGTCCAGGGCTCTCTGGCTTAGTGGAGGTGACGGGGCAGCAAGGGGAGTGTGTCCGCCGGGGCACCCCAAGCTCTCCCCACGCCTCCTCCCTGCTCCCGGAGTCCTCCCTCCCCCGCTCCTGGTGTCTAACGCCCGCCCGCGGCTCCACGGCGCAGGTCACCACCTCACAGTCTCCTGTCGTGCCCCAAGTCTGGCGGGGCTTTCCCAACCCTCTCCCAGGGCCTCCTCCCTCACCTGCTCATCACGCCACGCACCTCGCGTGGGCGCACCAGGGGACCCCCACCCACATAGCCACACGGGGTGCAGGGGGTCGGCTGGGACCCCCACACCTCACACAGCCACGTGGAGCACAGGGGTCAGCTGGGGACCCCCATGCCCCACACAGCCATGCGGGCACAGGGGGTCAGCTGGGGACCCCCACGCCTCACACAGCCACGCGGGGCACAGGGGGTCGGCTGGGGACCCCCACGCCTCACACAGCCACGCGGGCACAGGGGGTCG